GAAAATTGATTTCCACCAGCAATATAGTTATTTTTACTCAAGACTTCTTCCATAAAGCTTAAACTTGATTTTAACACGTCGTTACCTTCTTTTCGTAATTCATCGATTGTTTGTTGTGAATATTTTCTAATAGGAGCAAATATATTTGCTCTTATTAGACGCACTGATCCATGACGTAAGTTCATGTGATGCCAGTCCAACCAATAATCGACTCTAGCACGTTGTTTAATATCATTTGGAAAATAATGATCAGGTATTTTCCTGCTTGCACATATATAGCGCATTATTGTATGAGATTCGCCCAAATGAAAATCATCATCAACAATCGATGGAACTTTTCCAGCTGGATTCACCTGTTTATATTCAGCGCTTTGTGTTTCTCCTTTCATGATGCTGATTTCATGAACTTGATGTTCAATATTATTCTCCATCAGTAATATAGCAACGGCACGACAAGGTTGAGATAACCAGTCGATATATAAATGAAGAACCATTGTAGTAATCTAAATAATAGAGAAAAGACAATGAGAAGATTTTTATCGAAAAGAATTTCACGATTTCTAGTTGTACAAAGAATTGAATTAGAATTCCACACGATATTCAAGGATGTACAATTATTACTTCTACAAATGGTATGCACAGAAAAATTTTGCAGATATACATTTTTGAAACAAAAATGTGTAAAATACTTTTAAAATAACTCGCTGAAGCATAAGAATACAACGATTCAAAGCGTGCACTTTATTAATTCTTTTAGGTTGACTAGATGGAAGTCAAGATAAAACGAAGTCCGCAAATTACTTCTCAACTTTGTAATGATTTTGGGTCATAGATAAAGTTTCAACTTTTACAACAACTTACTTTCAGAGACACAAAGCCAAGTTTGCTAAACTATTCAAGAGCCCAGGTGTATATTATTTTATCAAGTATATTTGCTATAGCATGTTCGAGAAGAAAGCTGAGTAAATAATAAAACTGTGACATATAAGAAAAAGAAAAAAAATCTTTTTTTTTCTTTTCTATCTCTATGGGGCGTTAACTATATTTTTCATCCTCCCCTTTTGCCCATAAAACATTATCAGATTTCTTTTTCAAGTAAATAGTAATACATGCACAATCACAACAGATGTCATGTCATTACAAAAAAAGCTTACAACGAAATCATTATCCGCTCTTTCTTACATGGAAATATTTTGAGCTGATAAATCGATTTGAGCTGGAGACTTATTGCGATTTTCGACAATCATCTTATCGATTTTACTCTGCAAACTTGCATTTCTGTTTCTCTCGCTGCATGTTGATCGTTCTAGCATGACTCCAATGAAGAGCATCGTTGAGTAGTGTGATCGAATCAACCAGATTGCCGTGCTTATTTGATGAAGGGGTTAGACGCAGACGCTCGACCCATTATGAAAAATGATCCACTCGAGAAGACTCGATCTGAATATCCAGATGGTTGTTGAAGATTATTCTTTAAAGGTTCTTATTGGTACTGGAATAATATGCGATGAAAGTATAGTGATGATACTCTACACTCATGATTCTAGCTCATAGAAGCTGGTCAATGGTGTATATAAAAGTGAACAATTCGACTGAATCGAACATTGGTTCACTTATTTGACACATTGTTTCACATCATGCAAATTAATATTCCTTTGGAGAAAATACCAATCAGACAATTATTTTTGTCGTTTAGACAAATAAAACGCGCCAAATAGATTTTCGAATTTGGCTTCGGCTTTATTTTTCAAACAGTGATTCAAAAAACAAATTGAGGAACTTATACATTCAAGTGAAAAAAGTTTATTTTGCTCTATAGAATTATGTTTCGATTTGAATGAACTGAATTTGAGTCTGTCAATGTGAGATCACGCACTTGAAACATCTTTTCTTTGAATATTGTTGTTATTTGATTCATCGACGAAATTTTCTAGAAAGCAAATGATGATTATTTTCATTAGATTGAACTGACACAGTCAGGAAATGAATGAAAAATTCTGATTGTTTGCACTCATCTCTTATTTGCACGTGCAACCATGTATGCCTAGTTACCCCCGCTTGGTTCTCTCTCCTTCGTAGTATTCATTAGTAGCGAGTCTTGCAATCAGGAATGAACATATAGCGTAGTTAGCACCCCCAGTACTTTTTCATACACCGTGTCTAAGATGAAGTGACGAGCAGTGAAAAAAATAACATTTTCGGCACTTGTGAAGATCCAGGACGAATTGAGATTCGTAGATTTGGGCGTGTGGTGGAGGGGAGAGTAATCTTCTAATATTGTTTGTTAGTTAACTGTTGAATTAATATAAACATCAATTAATCCAGGTTCTAATTCATTAATTAATTGATGTTATTTTGATTGTTTAGTCGTTGCTAATAAATGGATTTTACGTATCATTTCTATTGCTTCCATTATTTTTAGTGGTGATTCTATTGACATACAACCATTATGATCAGCGCTGGGTGTGGGTCTGGGCGTCCATGTGGATCATTTATTCTCCTACATCCACATCTGCCCACATCCACACCTGTTGACAGTGTTCAAGAGAAATTTTAAACTTCATTCTATTTATTTTTATCTTTCTGTCGACAAGTTGGTGGTGATGTTGTTTTTTATCACGGCGTATTGGACTTTGAAGGGTGTAGCGTGAATGTGGATGTGAAGAGGAGAGCCATATCCACCCACCTCTACCCACACCCATCCACCCACTCTCAAACATTTGTTATGCAAAATGAGACAGGACTTCTGGGCCATCCGTTACCCACAGATACATCTTCTTATCAAATGCTTTATTTTATTTAAAATAAAAAGTATCAATATATAGTCAAATGTATGCTAAAATAATATTAGATGTCTAATAAAGCCACAACGTTAAAAATGCACTATATTTTTGATAAGAGCTTGATTGCAACCGTTTTCACTTCATAATAAGGTTCAAGGCCATATTTACCTAATTCGCGACCGATTCCTGATTGTTTGAAACCACCAAATGGAGCCTGAAACTTCATTGCCGCATAGGTATTTACCCACACGGAGCCCGCTTGCAATTCTTGGACAAATTTCAAAGCACGTGTTACTAAGAAACAAAAAAAAACAGAATATGAGAGACAATACTCCCATCACATTATATCTATTACAATCTTTCGTAATGACACCAGCAACTAGACCAAAGTTTGTTGCATTAGCTCGTTCAATCACTTCATCGTACGAATCAAACTTGAGTACGCACATGACTGGTCCGAATATCTACATCGAAAAAAATTCAATTCCAATCATTGACATAGAAAATAGCAGAACCTCTTCACGTGCAATTTTCATATCGTCCGTGACACTACTGAACACTGTCGGTTTAATAAAATAACCCTTATCATTGATTTTTTCGCCACCACATTCTAGTTTAGCACCTGCTTTTTTGCCTAACTCAACATAATTGAGAATCTTTTGGAATTGATCTTTGTTGATCTATTCGAAAGAATTTGATTAGAAGAAAAAGCCTAACAACAAAGCTTACCTGTGGGCCTTGTTGTGTATTTGCATCGAATGGATCACCGACGATCCGTTTTTTAGCAAGTGCAACACTTTTTTTTATGAATTCATCATAGATTTTCGCATGCACAAATGTACGCGATGCAGCAATACAATTTTGTGCTGCATTATGAAAGATTGCTTCGTGAGCGACATAAACAGCAAAATCAACTAGAAGATTCAACTTGACATTGATTGTCATTAAATTTTCTCTTGAACTCACCATCAGCATCTTCACAAATGATCAATGGAGATTTGCCACCTGTGTTCGAATAAGAAAGAAATAGAATATTTCATATTAAGATTAATTTATTGCACTGACCAAGTTCAAGTGTTACTCGTTTTAGATTGGATTTAGCTGCACCTTCTTGAATTTTTTTTCCTACCTACACAAGCTATGATGTCACACGGTTGTTTTTGTCTTCATTCATTGACTTACTTCAACTGAGCCTGTAAATGACACTTTATCAATATGATCGTGAACGACAATCGCATTGCCACAGTTAGGTCCGTCCCCTAAAAAGACAACAAAATGTCAAGCTCTTATTAACAACAGTCATTTAGTAGATAACCTGGTACAATATTGACAACACCCGGTGGAAAGCCGGCCTAGAAAAATCTCTGAATAAAACTGAAGCGAAAATACTATAGATACCTCTTTGATTAGAGCAGCACAATACAAGGCAGTAAGTGGCGTCTCTTCAGCTGGCTTGAGAATGACCACATTTCCTATTCAACAAAACATGGAATGAAACCAAAGAAAGCGAATCAAAATTTTCGCTTACCACAAGCTAATGCCGGTCCGAGTTTCAAAGCTAACATTAAGACCTAAATTGAAAGAAAAAGCTTGATAACATGTTTCAACATTGAATAAAGCCATACTGGATAGTTCCTACAACGAACAGAGGTATAATATTTCAGATTTTGTAAAGTAGCCTTCTCACCATGGAATAATTTGTCCGCAGACACCAACAGGTTCATGTCGGGTATACAGAAATGTGTCCGATCTTGATGGAATTGTTTCACCAGTAAATTTATCGGTCCATCCAGCGTCTACGCAAAATAGAAATGATACATTGAATCACAGAGAATCAGAGTGAAAACGTACAATAATCGATGCATGCAGCTGATCCCATGATGTCGATCTTACTGTTTGCTAATAGTTTACCGTTATTAAGTGTTTCCAATTGCTACAATAAAAAGACCTAGATCTTCTATTTTTCGTCGCTCAAAAAAGGATAACTGACCGCAAGGTATACAATATCACGACGAAGTAGTTCAGCAAATTTGCGCATTAAATTTCCACGTGCAGATGGTTCCAATTTTCGCCATGGTGAATCAATGCGAAAAGCTTTTCGAGCGGCTTCCACTGCCTTGTCAATATCATCCTGGATTGATCAATAGGAAGATTGTACAAAGAAAACAAAAATGATGTCAAAATAGACCTTAGTTCCTTCTTCCACTCGACAAATCTCTTCACCTGTGCTGGGATTGATGACAGGAAAAGTTTTACCATTCACTGCTTTATGCCATTCGTTATTGATAAAAATCTGTGTATATTTGATCTCAATATTCGGAACCTTCAACGTGAATGATGACATCTACAATATACAAAGCAATAATTTGCATGAGTTTTCTCGAGAAGCATCGAATTCAACACAAATTTGTGCTTGTCTTTTTCATTTCTGAATCTAAAGACCGATTTATTGTCTTCACATGTACCAGCTATGTAATATAGATTGTCTATGAAGGAAAGACTTGTCAGACCAGTTTAATTAATGTCAACATATGTCAATTCATAAGAACTATTGTGACAAAATGTATCCTACGCCTTCTTTCATTCTGTCAGTGGTTAGTTTGATAATTAATAAAGTGTTACCTTGGGGCTATTCGTTGTCGGGAAAGATTAGCGTCTATTTGACTTATATAGTCGATGCTTGCATAGAAAAAAAAATGGCAAATTATCTGCACACAAACTTGTTGCTCACTGTCGGTTCTTATCTTTCTTTGACCTGCATATCACTATCCAGCAAATTACTTTGTGCACATCTTTTTCTTTTATTGACGTTTTTTTTGGTAACCATATGTCAAGCTTGTTGTCCTCGCTGCGAAGAAACATATTTTTTTTCGGTCATTTCACTTTCAATATTTAACTCAAATTTCATCCTCCAATTAATTGATTGAAAAATGAAAGAAATTTTATTTCTGTGCATCTATTCATTGAGCACATATGAAGAGCATCATTTACGACAGTTCATGTATCGAGCAAGCTATAAATTTCACCGTTCGACTCATCTTCTTACCGGTCCTTCATCTAGCGGTTCAATTTGTTTTGTTCTTATTAAATAATGCTTCCCATTGTATGTATCACTGGCCTTCTGGCCATTCTCATTTTTCAAGAACAAAAACTGCGTTAAATAGGCTGCATGTGACGAACTTGAGGAGGGAAGTGCCCGTAAAACAGTGGTACTCGTTTCATATGGCTTCTTCCCACAACAAATCGTCCAGTTTACACACAAAAAATACGCTTATATAGAAAACATAGACAATGAACAGTAGTCAAGCATAGCGATCACAAGCTCAATAGAAAGAAAAAGATAGATGAAGATGATGCATTTCGTGACACTGTGGTCTTTATCTATCTAGCAACGGCAAAATGCTTGCGAATCGTATTTTTGGTCGATACTTGAGGGTGTGGGTTTATCCTCCCTTTATAGAAATCCGGACACCGACACCCACATCCACACTCTCGGGTGTGGCGTGGAGAGCACAAGTACACCCACACTCACACTCACACTCTCAACATGTGGAATGAAGTTATTATTGGTATCAGAATAGATTAAATTCGCGTATCCGTGGAAGTTCTTAAGAATTCTAGAAATTGATCAAGATAATGAAAGCAGAAGAGAAATGTATCCAAAATATTAATCCACAGTGATCTTTTGCGCTAAGTGTCAATAAGAAATCGAATAAACACCTTGTATAACTGATTGATAAAGCAGTATCTCGTTGCATCATTTCATCTTCTGAATGGTTCGCCTTTTGTTGATGCAAAAAGAAAATTAAGATGATTCCATACATGGCATCTGAGGTTGTAGGTGCAGTTCTTCTCTTCTTTTGCACTCACACCCACGCCTGCGCCCTCAACTCGAACAAAAATACATCGGTGAATTGAACTTCAAATCTGCATATACACACACGCGTTCTGCTCCAATATTCTTTGTCTCGTCTTACTCGGATATCGTGTCTCGTACTAGATGACGTCTACAAAACAGAAGATATCACTGCGAAACACGATGTATGTTATTCGAATCGATTTATTGAGTGATAATTGATGGCAAAAGAGCCGAACATGGACGTGCATTCTGAATTGATTGAGACATTTCGGGCCATACTTCGATCGGCGAAGATCAACTCATTCTGCTATGAGATTTCAATTGGTTCGAGTAATGCTTATTCGAGAAAGAATCTCTTCAAGCACAAACTTCTTAGATAGAATAATACCAATTCCTCAGACTCCACCCACTCACACTTATTCGTAAAAGATGTAGATGTATAATGCAGAATTATTTATTACCACAATGATGAAAATTTTCTCATTTTGATTCTTCTTTTAAAAATTTCAGAATAAAGCAATATTTCGTTGAAAAAATTATGGTTGCCGATGTCAATCAATAGGAATCTTCGTTTCTTACATGTCATTGCCAGTATGCAGTAAACGTGTATTCACCAGATGTTATTCTCACTGAGATAGTACTTGTTACGTGATTTTCAGCCAAATCACTCACTCCACGCACATCTGAAAACAGTCGCAATTCATCATTCTGATTTTTTCTCATCCAAACTATTTCATCATCACACATAAGTTTGAAACATTGGCCATTCTTGATCAATGGGTCAAATAAAACATTTGCATTCATATTGTTTGGTATAGCTACTGACAATACCACGGCGTTGAGTGATACTCGCGTCCATTGCACTCGAACTTTTCCCTTGATAGTTACTACTTCTGCTTCTGTATAGTTCAAGAGATCAGCAGTATAGGACATTCTTGGATGAACAGTAATCGTGTTCAGTGCATTCAACTCAATTCCCGCCAAATATCGATAGAACCAAGCACCAATACTGTTAAACATGTGATGATTCAACGATGATCTTGCTTCTGTCGGCAAGCTATTCCATTGTTCCCATGTAGTTGTAGCATTTTGAATAGGATTATTAAACATGTAGCCATAGGATGGATAGGTGGTTGATAGAGCAAGTTTCAAAGCCAGATCATGGTGTCCTTCCTTGGAGAGAAGAGGATATAGGGCTGATACACTGATAATACCTCCAGTAAAATAACCAGTATTGATGAGACTGTTGACCAATGAATTGAGTACAGTAGCACGAAGCGATTCTGGTACAACATCGGACAACGTCAATGACAATATATTTGCTGATTGACTTCCATCTGCATAGCCACTGACACTTGAATTATAGAAAACATCGTGCCATTCTTCAGTCAATTGTTGATATATTTGTGAATACTTCTGAACATTATCGGTCTGATTCAATAGTTCACTCATATTGATAAATGTGTAAACATCGCGTAGAAAGGCATAGGAAGATACCAGCGAATTGTTCTTGATTTTTTGGACTGGTACCCAATCACCCCAATGATAATACATGTTCGCCAAGCCAGTCTTCTTGTATTCGCCAATCAAAAAATCGATCCACGCTTGAATACCTGTATAATATTTTCCGATGATAGTGACATCACCCGTGTGTTCATACAAATACCAAGTGATGGTCACATATGCTGTACCCCAGTTTGGATCAGCAGGAATAAAACCTGTCATGAATGGCACTGTGTCACTGACCATACCATCAGGCGTTTGATTGTCTTCAATCATAGTCAGAAAGTTTAAATAGAAATTGACATAATCAAAATTGTACAATGCTTCGTCGACACTGAGTCCGGCATCGCCCATCCATCCTGTTCGGTCATTCCGCTGAGGACAACCGTAGGGTAATGACATAGCATTGCTTAGCTGAGACCAGAGAATATTATGCTGAATCTGATTCAAAACAATACTACTGGTACTGAAATTACCGATCAATGTGGTCTCGCTATGAGCATTGTAGCATTCGACATCGTTCGGATTGATGTTGTTATAGCCATTTACTAATAAATAGCGAAAACCATGGCTAGTAAATAGAGGTTCGAATGTTTCATTGCCTGTTCCATTCAAGATTACTGTGTCCATAACAGCAATACTATCTAAATTTTCATAGTACAATCCAGCAAAATCAATGCCATTTGCACCACGCGAGTATCGTAGTTCTGCATAACGTAATTGAATAATGGTAGATTTCGTGGAATCTAGTGAGGATAATTTACACCAACCAGCGAAATTTTGACCAAGATCGAATATTTGACCATTGACGAAATCTTGGGAGATAGGCTTGAGTACACCACCATCAGTAAGACTAGCACCTTGAACTCCGGCGAGGAGACCTGAGTGACCTGAAGTGGCAACATGCAGTGCATTGGGACCAATACGAATAGGATCCATAGTTTGCAGTGAGAATTGACCACCAGCTGTGAAGTTTACCGGTGATGGCAAGGTAGAAGCATTGATCCACAATGAGTTAGACTTAGTGAAATTGGCACATGACCAACAAGGAAGTGTTGCTCGAAGATCCATCGTTGTGCCCATGTACACGGAATCAAAGCGATGTTCGCCTTCTCGACCTAACCATGAAGAATCGGTGACAATCGACTGAACAGAACCATCGACATAGTGAATATTCAATTGCATCAATGCACGAGGTGGACCATAATACTCGGCGAGTACAGTGCGTGCACCGAGTGAAATTGCCCACTGTTGTCGATTGTACCAGCCTTGTCCCAATATGATTCCGATACCAATCCGTCCCGTAGTAGTGTTTATTACTTTAGTGAGATCATACGAGGCATAGAGTGTACGTTGTTGATATGTAGTCCATCCGACGTCTAGGCGTCGTGATGGATCAATCAATTGACCTTCTATATATAAATGATAATAACCAATACCACTGATGAAAGCAGTAGCAGACTGAATTGTAGTCGTTTTTAGATTGACGACAGTACGTAACTGATTCATGTTAATTTCATCACTGCCAATCCATTGACCCGTCCACTCTTTGAGAGAAAAGAGTGCAGTACGAAAATGTGCCGTGTACCATTGGCTTTCGTGTTCTGTCGTGTAGTATTTGATATTCACTGTGTAGTGCGTGTCAGAAGTGAATTGTGTACCTGCATAGAGAATATGTGAGCATGACGAAGAACGTACATAGTCACTGTTCCACATCAGTTGACCAGTGATAGCATTGTGCACCAGAATATGATAACCCACTTGTTGTACATCTCTGATCAAATGTCCATTATCATTGTGTTCATTAGTTAATTGCCATGAGAAATGTGGTGTTTGAGTATCAATGACGATATCAGGATGCGTATTCACGTCCATATGTTGAATACGAACATTATGAGGTCTGATGCATGCTGAAGAAGAAGAACATTTGCCAGATATTCTGATACCATTAACAGCAACGTTGTGGCTCTGTATAGCCAATAATAGAATGATCTGTAACATCAGCATAAGAGTAGAATGAAGACTCAGAAACAAATTGTGAGATGAGAAGACAAACCAAAGAAAAAGATAACTGCTTCACTTGCAGCGATAGCAACATGTTTTTCAGGTAGGCTACCTAGATAGCGATACAGATAACGGCCTTTGTCGATGATTTTTTGTTTTTAGAAACAAGTGGTTTGTCTCTTACGTATTATAGCACAAGATCTCTTGTTGATTAATATCGGACGCAAATATCATGTGTTGAAAATGGGACCAATCAAACAGGAATTGAATCGACAAAGCATCGATGCCTGTGTAAAAAAATTGATGCGAATACTCGATTCTACATAGAATATAATCAGAGAATAATCAAGAATATCGAAATTTCATCGATTGTTCTAGTTACTTTTGATTAAAATCGATTTCATCATCATAAAGAAATCGCTTTTAATCATACGAAACCGATTAAAAATGATTTTTTTTTCACAATTTCAAATACGTTTTAATCAAAAATAATCAGAATAATAATTGATGAAATTTCTATATATTTTACTATTTTTTTATGATAATCAATTAAAATCGATTAGATTTTTAGTTGAAGATCTAGATTACTTTGTGAAAAAATCGATCTTAGTTGATTATCGTCGAGCAAAATCTATTATTTCATTGAATTTAATTTGAAAGTGGCATATATTTAATCGATGTTCTTGTGATTATTATATAAAAATCGGTTTTAATCTGATTTTCAACTCCGTTTTTTACATTAAGTATTCGCTAGAATACTCATTGATAGGTACTGATATGTTTCTTTCCTATTGTGGAATGGAAACAAAGAATCAAGGACAAACATGCTTAATCAATGATTCAGATAAATCAAAAGCTGATTTCAACTATAATGATGCCACACTGGACTATGCAAGAGAACATGTGCAAGGATCGGATGATCCATCAGTTCTCAATTTAAATTCATACAATATAACTCAGACACAAAGTTTAATAAATCATTTATCAACAACATATCCATTATGCTAAAAGAAAAGCACAATATAAAGAATGTATTGTATTTTTTTTTTAATAGAAGTTATTGAAGAGAATATTAATTTTTTAGGATGAAGTGTAGACAATCTTGACTTAAATAAGAGGTTAGATTTAATAATGGGACATTTTAAAGCCAACTCAATATGTTCTTTTGAGGGTAAAGCTATTTGGATGAGTGTGTAAACCTTCGCTTCACTCATCCTATTCTAGCATTTGTTGAATAGCAATGATCAGTTGTGTATCGCTAGAACTATGGGATTCCGCATTTCGGGAATAAAAAAGTTCTTGAATACCATTCGATGTATTCTTGAATATTACTTCAAAAATCGGCTTCATATTTACTCTTAAGATCCTGTTGCCATCGTTGACAAATGAACAAGAGTTGCGAATTGAGAAAGTTCAATCGTATTTGTTAGATGATGGACTGAAGAAAATCAATGTTTCCAGTTTTTGAATCATTGTATCGTAGCAACTCCATGTGTGCTAATTCAATATCAGAAAGAAGTATCTTGTTTAGAAATCACTTCTGAATTGTTTCTCCTATTTATTCTGGTACATTCAATGTTAGTTTATACTGAAAGATATGATATTTACAAAGAGAAGCTTTTAGTGCGATCTCAATTGAGTTTTCAATACAAATCACTATGAAACGATTTTCATTGATGATATAATCATTATGGGAGTGTCTCTTACTTCATGTGATCATCTTAGACATGTTATTTTTATTGTATTTCTTCTTTTTGTAAATTACAAGTGTTCTATTCTGAAAATCAAATTTGAATAAAAAGGAAATAGATGCTAGTCTACACTTATCAATCATTCATGTGCCAGGTTTTCCTTTAGTTTGACAAACTGTATAATACGTCGAGGTATATTGTCAGCTTTGTCTGATGTGATGATACCTTTGAAAGATGGCAATGGTGCCTTAGTTGGTTTTTGACTTGTGAAGTTCCTGAGTGTTGTTTTTTTTTGTCTCATTTTGAATGTGGTTATTGAATAGAAGATCATGAAAAACTAATTGCTATGTGACGATGAAGGTCTGCATTTCTTCTAGATAGTTTACCGCTATGCTTTGTTGTCTTTGTTTTTTTGTTATTAGTCAAGAGTAGGTATGCACCAAACTCAAACCGTTTAGTTTTAGTGAGTTTAATCAAATGAGTTTGGATTGAGTGCTAAAAGTAATCAAATGATTCAAGTTTGAGCTTAGATTCACTTCTGCTCATATTATTTTCTTCTATCGATGCACCAATTCTAATTCTTCAACTAGAGTGAACTTGACTAGAATGGGAATTAAAATTGAAACTAGTGCACCTCTGAAAGAAAATAACATAACCAGAAGTGGATCTAAGCTCAAACTTGAATCATTCAATTACTTTTAGTACCAAACTCAAGCCCAAACTTCTGAAAGGGTTTATATTTGAGTTTGAATTTGATGCATATCTACACTCAATGCGAAGTCTTGGTTTGTACTCTGTCCTCTGTAAGAATCAGCAATCAAAACCGTTATTAGAAATTTGGGGTATCTTTTTCTCAAGAAAATAACATGCTATAAACTTCACAGCAAGAGATTTTCTCTCGTCATACGTTGAAATGCATCTAATCAATGTCAAAACAAAACATACACATGTAAACAAATTAAATCACAAGAATCGTCACGACTTTCAAACTATATTCAAGACATAACACTAGTTTTCGACCAGATAGAGCAGACAGTTTTCTCATTCCTGTTTCCAGCTCTCAACAATAATGAATATCTGGTTTTCGTCTGAGAAAAATACAGAAGCACTCATGCTGTCTATTCATGAGAAATAAAAATATTTTATACACTGTTGTTTCTAAACCAATCACTACGGTGTGAGTGTAAGTGTCAGTGAAGAGAACACTTACATGGACCTCATTTAGACACCGTTACATCGACGTCAAACCCATCTTCAGGTCTTCGTTGAATATCTTTTAAGCTTCTAATATCGTTTTTTAAAATGATTTTGATTTATACATTATTGTAAAGAAAAAAATTGGATAAAAGATTTAATATCATATTCTGAAAATTTCCATAGAAATAAATATAGAAATTTTTATATTATTGACATATAACAAAAAAAAATGTAATAAAAAAAAGTCAAATAATATCGAAAGAAATTAATTAGAATCGATTCTTCAAGATGACATTATGTTTCTAATTAAAAACATTTTATAATTAGAATTTATTTATTATATTTTAATATTTGATTTTCATACATTAAGCAACGAAAGTATATTTCTCAATTACTTTAAAAGTAATAATACTTTATTTGTTCCACTTATTCACACCAATTAATCTAACATAGCAAACGAAGGTATGTAGAACATTATTTTCTTTGCTTTAATCATACATTGTTGTTTTTTTCTAATTAACTAAATTAATATAAATATTTTTCTTTTTTCTGTCACTCAAAGACGTTATTGAACGAGACCAAAACAAATTTTCCGCTTATATATGATTTAGCTTGTAAGAAGGAAAATATTCCAATTCTATTAATCATTTTTAACTAGAAACTCTTATATATTCATGCTAATGAAAAATTACGTATATTTTGATATGAAAAATGACGACATAAAACAAACAAAATACAATAGATAAAACTGTCCAATTGTTTCCACTTGTGTATAGTCTCTTGACAAATATGTATACACGATACATGAAAAAAAGCAAAAAATGAAATGAGCTTTACAGTCGAGAAAAACATTTAATAAAAGAAAAACATCACCTTAAAAATGAATTAATTAAAATTATGAAGATGAATTTTAAAAAAAAAAAGACTTATGCGTTGAAAATGAGAAATGAATAAAAATATATCAAAAGTTCTTTTTTTTTCTCTGCTCTCAATTAAACATATACTTGTTTTTCGTTCGATAATTTTATATCATCAGATCCCATAGCAACATATGATGTGCCATCTGAAACTTGTACAGCATGATAATGATCTTCTTCTGTTGGTGCTTGATGATATGATGGATCACATATAGGTGTTTTTGACTAAAATAAATTCAAAAATATTATTTTATTTATAAGAAAAAAATAATAATAATAATAAATTTTTATTTACATCCGAACGATTTGCATGTTTCAAGTGTCGACGATAATTCTATATGAATTTTAAAAGAAATTAAATAATTAATCAAAAAAAAAAAAAGAAAGAAAGAAAAGATAAACTTACGTAAATATATAAAATGATAATAGTAAGTCCAATAAAAATAAGTAGAAAAATGATCATACAGATCATATATTTACTACTCATACGTGTAAAATTTCTTAATTTTTCACATAATTTACCGACATATGTTTTAGTTGAACGTTCATTTTCAATATCGTCAATTACATTTACAACAACTGGTAAAACCGAACGGAATTCATGAGTATTCAACTAAAAAAATAAAAATTAATTTTTAACTTTTTTTTTGTATTTTGTTTTACTAATTACATCATTATCAATTTGATCCATTTTCTTTTC